ATACATATAATCAGATGTGACGAATTACACAAAAGAAATTATTCATTCAAAACCGCAAAAATAAATATTGTCTACATAAATCATATCTGATTAAATACATATAATCACATGTGATTATATGTATCCAATCATATATGATTTATGTGGATGAGATTCATTGTCACATTCTCGATTCAATAATTGTTCTTTGCCCACTGTAATCATATGTGATTAAATACATATAATCATATGTGATTATATGTATCTAATCACATATGATTTATATGGACAAAATTAATCATATGTGATTAGATACATATAATCACATATGATTATATACACAAGAACAACTATTGAATCGAGAACACAAAGATAAATATTGTCCACATATATCATATGTGATTAAATGTATATAATAACATGTGATTACCCACCACCACCTACCACCACTATAAACCAACTATATAAACAAGATTCGTTAAAACAAATCTTTTCCAAATAAATCACATATGATTAAATACATATAATCACATTTGATTAAACTCAATACCCATCACCACCACCCTCCACCGTCACCCACCAGCACCACCGCCACTTACCACTCATCACCCACCACCTATCACTACTCACCACTACCCACCACCCATTTTATTCATATTTGATTCAACATTTGTTCTCGTGTATATAATTAGATGTATTATATATGTATTTCATCACATATGATTTATATTGAGAAAATTCATTTTTGTCCATATAAATCATATGTGATTAGATACATATAGTCACATGCGATTAAATACAAGAGAAAATTTATTGAATTGAAACAGAAAAAATAAATCTTTCCCAGAAATTATATATGATTAGATACATATAATCACATGTAATCACATATGATTTATATGGATAATATTAATTTATTAGTTCGTCTCATGTATTTAATCACAACTGATTATACGTATACCTGTGATTATGTGTATCTAATCATATATGATTTATGTGGCTAAGATTCTTTTTCGCGTTCTCGATTCAATAATTTTTTTTTCCACTTTAATCATATGTGATTAAATACATTATTCAGATGTGATTATATGTTTCTAATCACACATGATTTTATGTGGAAAAAACAAAGCTTGTCTATTTAAATCATATATGATTAGATACATACAAACACATGTAATTATATACACGATAACAAATATTGAACCAAGAACGCGAAAACAAATCTTTATCTAAATTAATCATATGTGATTAAATACATATAATCACATGTGATTATATGTATCCAACCATATATTATTTATGTGGATGAGATTCATTGTCACATTCTCGATTCAATAATTGTTCTTTGTCCACTGTAATCATATGTGATTAAATACATATAATCATATGTGATTATATGTATCTAATCACATATGATTTATACGGATAAAAAATAATGATGTCTATATAAATCATATGTGATTAGATACATATAATCACATATGATTATATACATAAGAACAACTATTGAATCGAGAACACAAAGATAAATATTGTCCACATATATCATATGTGATTAAATGTACATAATCACATGTGATTATATGTATCTAATCACAAAGAATTTATGTGGAAAATATTTATTTTCGCGTTCTCGATTCAGTTGTTGTTCTTGTGTGCTTAATTACATGAGATTATATGTATATAATTAGATATGATTTATATGGACAATATCAATTTTCACATTCTTGTTCAATAGTTGTTCTTGTACATTTAGTCACATATGATTTCTGTAAACAAGATTCATTTTCACGTTTTTGATTAAATAGTTTTTCTTTTTCCACATTAATCATATGTGATTATACATACAATCACATATGATTAAATACATAAGAAAAAATATTGACTCATGAATATTATCAATATAAATCACATGCGATTTGATACATATATCACATATGATTAAGTACATGAGTACAACTATTGAATTGAGAAAAAATAATGAATCTTGTCCAAATAAATCATATGTGATTAAATACATATAATCACATGTGATTAAATATATTAGAACAATTATTGAATTGATGCAAGAATAAATATTTTTCATACGAATCATATGTAATTAAATATATATAATCACATGTGATTAAATACACAAGAACAACTATTGAATCAACACGTGAAAACAAATATTGTCCATGTAAATCATATGTGATTAAATACATATAATTGTTGGATTAGGTGTCTAAGCCCATAACTATAATTGGTATGTACTTGAATTGATAGCAGCACAGTCCTTTTGGGTTGCCCTCAACCTAGCAACTGGACAAGGAAATTATGAAAGGAGAGATATTAATTTATAAGATTAATAAATTAATATATATATAAATGATTTATTAATATGTTATTGGATTAATATATTAATTAGAAATCATTATGTTTAATTAATTGTTAGCCAGAAATTAATCAGAATTGATTTTGGGGTTAAAAGAATTAATTATAAGGTGCAGGGACTAGTTTGCAATTATCTAATAGTTGAGTGGAAGGCTCTAGAACCCCCTTGGAAGAGGGTGGACGAAATCTTTAGGGGAAACCCTAATAATTTCGTCCATAGGGGCTTGGATAAGGCCCTTGGGTTTGCTTAGGCCCTAAGCAAAGGATAACTAGGGTTTCCCTTAAACCCTAGATCCCTCAGCTATATAAGGAGCCTCCTGGTTCATATTTTTGGTCACTCTTTCTTTTGAAGAAACCCTAAGGCCGAGATTTTGCATACTCCCTCTCCCCTCTCTCTTCTACTTTCCTTCTTGCTAGTGTGGGTGTGATTCCATTAGAGGCATTACACTTGTGGTGCTAAAGCTTCCAAGAAGGTCAAGATCAAGACCAAGGGAATATCAATTGTTTGCTATAACAATTAAAAGGTATGTAAACCCTAAACCCTAGTTTGTTAATTTCGAAATTAGCCTCTCTCCTCTAGGGTTCTTGTTTTGCAATTCAAAGTTGTATGTTCAATAGTTAAAACATAGATCCAAAGTAGGTTGCATGTGAACTTAGGAATTGTTTTCTAGTTTATTTGTTGTATATAAAACCCATCAATAATCACATGTGATTCAATACACGATGGGTGGTTGCAAGTGGTGGTGATAATGATGGGTGGTGGTGGAAAGGTTGCAAGTGGTGGTGATAGTGATGGGTGGTGGTGGGAGGTTGCAAGTGGTGGTAATAGTGATGGGTGGTGGTTTTGGTGGGTGGTGGGTGGGTGTGGGTGGTGCTGGTTGGGTGGTGATGATGGTGGCAGGTGGTGGTGGTGGTTGTGGTGGGAAGGTGGTGGGTGGTGGTGGTGGGTGGTAGTGATGGGTGGTGGTGGCGGGTGGTGGGTGGTGGTGGTGGGTGGTGGTTGTGGTGGTGGGTGGTGGGTAGTGGTTGGTGGTGGTGGGTAGTGGTGATGGTTGGTAGGTAGTGGTTGTGGGTGGTGGTGGCAGGCTGTGGTGATGGATGGTGGAGGTGGGTGGTGGTGGTGGTGGTTGGGTGGTGAGTGGTGATGATGGTGGCGTGTGGTGGTTGGTGGTGGTGGGTGGTGATGGGTAGTGGGTAGTGATGGGTGATGGGTGGTGGGTGGTGGTTGGTGGTGGGTGGTGAGTAGTGATGGGTGGTCGGTGGTGGTGGTGGCAGGTGGTGGTGGGTGGTGGGTATGGATAGGTGGTGAGTAGTGATGGGTGGTGGTGGTGGGTGGTGGTTGGTGGTGGTGGTGGGTGGGTGGTGGTTGTGGTGGGTGGGTGGTGGTGGGTGGTGGGTAGTGATGGGTGGTGATGGGTAGTGGTGGTGGTGGGTGGTGGTGGCGGGCAGTGGTGGTTGGGTGGTGGTGTGGTGGGTGGTGATGGTGGTGGCGGGTGGTGGTGGTGGTGATGGTGAGTGGGTAGTGATGGGTGGTGGGTGGTGGTTAGTGATCGGTGGTGGTGGCCGGGTGGGGTGGTGGGTGGTGTTGGTGGTGGTGGGTCGTGTGGGTGGTGGTGGCGGTGGTGGTGCTGGGTGGTAGGAGTGGTTGTGGGTTGGTGGGGCAGGCGGTGGCGGTGGTGGTGGTGGCAGGTGGTGGTGGTTGGGTGGTGATGGTGGGGCGGGTGGTGGGTGGTGGTGGTGGGTGGGGGTCGGGTGGTTGGTGGTGGTGGTGGGTGGTTAGTGAGGGTGGTGGTGGTGGGTGGTGTTGGTGGGTGGGGAGTGGTGTTCGTTCGTGAGTTTTTTAATTGTTTTGTAACTATTTTTTTCTTTATATGTTAGGAGTTTTTTAATTGTTTGTAACTATTTTTTTATTTATATGAATATTATTTTATAATTTTAATTAAAAATTTGTGTGGTCCAAATTTGTTCTCAAATGTTTTCGCGATAAGAAATGTTCTTGATTGAACGCTCCCCTATATATATATATATATATATATATATATATATATATATATATAATATATAGAGGAAGGATCATTTGAGAAGTCATATATTCCCGAGAACTTGAGAACCAAACGATGATCGTTAGATCAAAATAATCGATGGTTAGGATGCTTTGTGGCATTTTTGTAAATACATGGGAAAGAAAAGGTACGGTAGTATGTTTTTTGAAAAAGAATCGGGGCATTTTAGGAATGGAAAAAAGAATAACATAATTCATAAATCGGATTGAATCAGGTCTGCCTCTACCCTATCTCTCTCGCTCTCTTCATCCTGCCTCTCTTTGATCTTCATTCCGCCTCTGGTTCATACGATCACATCTAGCAAATCTGCATCGCTTTCCTCCGCCATCAAGCTTCATCTTCTGAGTAATCCTTCACTTGATGTTGTTGATTGAAGGCAACCACCTCTTTAATCATGGATGACGATTAAGAAATAAATTGTCGATATTTAAGCTTCATTATCTGAGAACACGCAGTGAATAAAATTGATTTTCAAGCTGATTTACTAATTTTCGATTAACACGCAATCAATTTCTGCAATCGTTTTCAAGCCGATTTCTACCAGCCACCGGTTTCTACAATCGATTTCTTCCCTTATGGTGTTGGATGATTTCAAACCTGGTATTTTTTAGAACTCTTTGATGTTCTTATTCTTTTGATTCCAACTGATTTTGATGCTTGAACTACTTGCATTTACGATAATGATTCGAAGTTGAAGGAGGAAACTGTGCCTCCTGGTTATGATCCTGAACAAGATGTCGTCAACAAACGTAAATCCAAATCGGCTAAGACAAATGAACGAAAGAAGGAGAAGCGCTTGCAGGTATCGTAATCAGATCCCCAATTATACGTGTTTTTTTTTTTTGCGTTTCCGGATTTTCATATGTGTTTATTTGATTCCGATCAGGGTAAAAATAAAGTTTCATCTACTGGAGACGAAGAACAAGCATTGGAATCCATTGAGTCGATTGCGTCCTACATAAACGAGATCACGATTTCTGGAAAGCCATGTGTTGCTACTACTACTCCCTCAAATTCATTGGAATCACCATGTTTTCTTCATCAGACTCAGACTGATGAAGAAACTGATGAAATCGGTGAGTTTGTCACTTGTATGGGAGGATGTTCTTCTATTTCTAAAACATATTTGTAGAAATTCAATATATGAATTCATAACACATACTTGTAGAATACATAACAAAATTCAGTTATGTATTCATTTTTGCAATCAAACCCCGGAATGAAATGGAATTCCATTTCATTCAAATTCATAGGGAATCAATCAATTCTCTTATTTCTCTGATAATTTTAGTGATAAAAGAGTTTACTTTGCTATGACTTGGTGTTGACTTTTGAGAGTCAACTGTTACAGGAGTCAAATGGTAGAAATATTGAGAAACGACAAGCATCCAAGGAAGATTTTCCAAGTGCACCTCCATTTTCAGGTTCATTTGGGGAAATCAAGCAAGAGAAGGAACATTCTCCCATTCCTAAAGCTAATTATATGTCATCTACAGCTGACTCGGTTGACTTTTTAGCTAAGTCAACTGTAGAGAAGAAGACTCCTGTTGTAGATTTGAAAGAAATTAATAAACAGGAGACCTCAAACCCATCTAGGTTTGTTTCTACTTCCTCAATATTTGTAAACTATATTGCAACATTATGTAATTTTCCTTAAAAAAAGCTATTTGTTTTGTCTGATGAAATGGAATAGATAGTTCTTGAAAGAATGTGAAAGGAATAAAAATTTGCAGTACTGCCCATTTTTATTTATGTCATTTCAATGACATATATCTTTACTTTTGTAATTTCATGATGTTAATTAAAGTGTACTTTTATCTTCCAAAAATAACTAGAACTATATGTTTTATTATGACCTTTTTTGGGTTCTAATGTAAATAAAAAATGCATTAGATATAATTATCTACATTACAATTTACATCTAATAGAGTAAAGTTAAAACTATATATTATATTACACATATCATAAAAAGTTTATATATAACATTACCTCTTTTTTTGATGTTTATTTATATCTTAATATCTTTTACTTTCTTTGTGATAGGAATGTTGGTGTCAAAACTAGTTCTCGTATTACTCTATCAGGTACGTCTCTCTCTCTTACCAGTAGACTGAAGAAAAGGAAATATATTTTCTTCAGTTGTGTAATTCCATTTTTAGCAATATCTTTAATTGTTTTCTAATTATATTATCTTTATTGTTGACCAGGCAAGGAAATTGCTGCCAACTGGCAGGAGAAATGCATTTTACCTTGGTATAATGTCCACAATAGTAAGTTTCTTCTCCCTTGCAGTTCATCTAAGTTGATAGCAATAACTCATATACAGGATTTGGGACACCAAGTATCTTTTGTGGTTTCTAAAATGTTTTGTTTTTTGCTTTGTATTCTGTAATCTTTCCAGCTTGGAGCAGGATCTTTTGTGGTGCATAGCCTCTCAACATTTCTGAATTCATTTCTCCAAAACTTTGGGATAAGCCAAGAAGTCCAGAACCCAGTAAGTCCCTCATTTTTACACTATTGGTTACTTTACGGTTTAGAATTATAATCTATTGATCTTACAGAAAAGTTTATTTAACCTTGCAGGTTTCTGTTTTTGTGGTGCTTGGAATCATTTTGTTAGGAGCTGGTTTCGGATATTGGCTGGTGAGGAAATATATTATTTGTGAAGATGGAGAATTTGATGTTGGAGTTGCACAATTTATCAAATGGTCCATGCGTATAGTTGCAGTCCCATGTATTATCCTGGTAGGTTACTATATTCATTAATTAAACTCATATTTCCAAAAGTGGTTCATGATTTAATGAATTCTATGTTTTACTTGCTTATATCTGAGGCTTGTGTTATCTTTTTCAGAGCACGAAAGACACCCATTTGGCAATGGCTGCAGTGGGGTCTTGTTTGGGTGTATACTACATGATCACGAAGATTGTAAGGAAAATGCCATGTAGGATCTATGCAACCCTCAAAGAGCTCAGCCTTGGTATGATGGAGAAGGAATGGAATGTATAATTCCATTGGAATGGACGATTCCTGAATGAATGTAATTCCTTCAATTTTCTGGAATTTATGAAGAGGAACAATTTTGTTAGCCCTAAAGTTGCTTATGAAACAGCAACTGCGTTGCAGGTACAATTAGATGAATTTTAATAAATTCAACTATATATATATATATATATATGAGAAACTAATATCTTGCTCTTTGATAAAACTATTACAAAAAAACAAAAAAAAAAGATTTACTAATTTCCTGTATTTCTTCTTGCAGAATGTATCATTCCATTGGAATGGACGATTCTTGAATGAATGTAATTCCTTCCAAAAATTAGAATTCCTATAAAGATTAAATGCCTCATCAAAGTATAATAGTCATTTTCGTTTGGATTTTGGTCATTTTACATCGAGGAAAGATGTATATTTTAATTAATCTTTGGGATATTTTCTGTTCCATCATTGATTTCTGATTCGGTGACCAATAAACTAATCCATTAGTATAATATATAAATGAAAATATAATTTTATTGAAGTATTTTGGTTGCAAACTTTACATATGAATTACATGTGATTCACATGTAAATCACATGTAATTTACATATGATTCACATGTAAATCACAAGTGAATCACATATGAATTACATGTGATTCACATGTAATTTATATGTGATGTAAATCACATATGAATTACATGTGATTCACATGTAAATAACATGTAATTCACATATGATTCACATTTTAATCACATGTAATTCACATATGATTCACTTATGATTCACATGTAAATATGAATTACATGTGATTCACGTGTAAATCACAAGTGAATCGCATATGAATTACATGTGATTCACATCTAATTCACATATGATTAATTTGTGATTCACATGTAAATTACAAGTGAATTACCTACGAATTACATGTGATTTACAAGTTAATCACATATGAATTATATGTGATTCACATGTAAATCAAATGTAATTCACATATTAATCACATGTAATTCACATGTAAATCACAAGTGAATCACATATCAATTACATGTGATTTACATGTAAATCACAAGTGAATTACATGTGATTTACATGTAAATCACAAGTGAATCACATATGAATTACGTCTATATGCACACATGCATTTTGTGTAAGTGTTATTCGTTAATTATTTTTTAAAATTTTCTTGTGAATTTCACATTTAAATCTTAAAAGATACAATCAAATGTGAATATCACATTATATAATCACATGTGAATCTTACATGATATATACATATGCGTGTTCTTGCATTAATCAATTTTTTTATTTTCCTGTAGATTTTGAAGAATTTTTGGAAAATATTGAAGATGTGAAAAGTGATAAATTGAATAAAATATGAAAATCTTGATATGAAGAAATGATAACACTGTGAATCTTTGTAGTTTTTTTATATTTTATTTTGTATCGAATAAAATACTTGTATTATGTTTATAGATTGATTAATAAAAATGAGATTTTTTATAATTTACTTACAAATATTATAGTATAAGAAATATGCATATATGCATTTGAAAAAATATGCATATATGCACCTAAAACGTTGATTTTTTTGTTAAAAAATGCAGTTTTGAAAAAAATTGCACTTTTTTTTTATAAAAATCGCAGTTTTTTTTTAAAAAAATGCAGTTTTTCTGAAAAAAAAAATGCAAAAATGCATTTTTTTTGAAAAAAAAAATACAGTTTTTTTTCTAGAAAAAATGCAGTTTTTTTTGAAAAAAAAATATTGTTTTTTTTAAAAAAAGATGCAGTTTTTAAAAAAAATATTTTTTTTCATTTTTTTTTCATTTTTATGTTTTTTGAAAAAAATTAAAAAATCTCCATTTTTTAAAAAAATCGAAAATTATTATTTTTTTTAAAAATAAATCCGAAATTTAGAGTTATTTTGTTAATTTTTAGACATTTATATTAATATATAAAATAACACAAAAAAATTAAATATTAAATTAGATTGGTAAGATGACGATCATGTCCTTAACGAATTATTTTTGATCCAACACTCCACTTTTAGTTGTCGGGTTCTCGGGAAACTTTGAGTTCTCAACCGATCTCAACCCTATATATATATATATATATATATATATATATATATATATATATATATATATATATATATATATATATCATATCATACTATATTATAAATGAAGCATTTTTCCTTTCACCACATTCATTTGAAACTCCCATGACTTTTCAATTTCTTTCTAATAATGATTATAAGTTAGTTAATAAGATTAAATAAATATCAAACGTAAAGTATAATCACATATTCTTTAAATTTCAATATTAAAAGAATATATTTACTTCTACTTATAAAGTTATGTTTTTTAAGTTTTTACATATTATACTTAATTTATTAGTTTTAATATATTGTTGGATGTAAACCTTTATCATTTTAAAGCTACAACTTTTGAACAATTTGTATAAAATATTTAAATTATAAACTTAAATATAACATTACGAGACCAAATTAAATATAAATTTTAGGTTAACTTAAAAAACCCAAATAATATTTTGTAAATAGTTAAAAGTGATAAATTTTAGTTTGTTTCCAACAATGATTATAATTTGGTTAATAAAGTTAAATAATTATCAAACATAAAGTGTAATCATAAATAAACTAAATTTCAATATTAAAATAATATCTTTACTTCTTCTTATAAAGTTATGTCTTTAACTTTTAACATATTATACTTAATTTATTAGATTTAATATGTTGTTGTATGTAAACCATTATCAATTTAAGCCACAGCTTTCGAACAGTTTGGACAAAATACTTAAATTGTTAATTTAAATATAACATTATAGTGTCAACTTAAATATAAATTTCAGTTCCACTTAAAAAAACCCAATGAATATTTTGTGAATAGTTAAAAGTGATAAATTGCATTGCTAAATGCAAAAACTAAATTATAATATCAATTTAACTAAAATATTTCCTAAAGATATTTGTATAATCGTTAAAAGTTTTCAAATAAGTAGCTTAAAGTAACTTATAATAACAATAGTTAAAAATAACTCTATATAAATGATTATATTATTACCTTAAAAATCAAAAAACAATGTCTGATGTTTTAAATAATTATAATAATAGAAATTAAAACGTTAAGAAAATAAATATTAAATTGTTAATTAACATAACAAAAACTATAAATAACATTAGCCATATATTATATTTAATTTATTTATGAGTAACTCGCGGATAAAAGTCATTCAAACGGTTGAGATTATACAATAATAGATGTATATATTATCATATAATTCAAAATAATCAATATATTATATCAATTTAGTATACGAATTATTATATCAAATTTAACAACAACGTTGTTGTTGTATTTAAAAAAAACATATATTTGTAAATATTTCAACTATATAGGTGTTTCTGCGCAACGGGCATCCGCCTGGTATATATATATATATATATATATATATATATATATATATATATATATATATATATATATATATATTATATATATATTATATATAATATATATATATATATATATATATATACACACAAAACAGAAGATCTTCCCAACAAAACAGAAACGTCTTATATGTGTTGCCAAATAGTTATCCCACTTAGATAAACATATGTACTAAAATGTCCTGCCACAAAGACATACTCCCAAGCAGGTTGGTTGTTAGTGTCGTACGGGTTGATAGTGGAGAAAAGTACACATGGCCATAACATGATAAAGAGATTACATGTTGCAGTATAATGCCATACACTGTTGTGGACAATGAAACATAGATGAAATTGGAAATAAGACATACATGCATTGGTATTGAAATCAAGATCGAATATTATCAAATATTACCATATTCAATGTAAATAGAATTTCAAGTTCACGAGTTTATGAAGTCAATCAAACCTGCAAAAACAAATTATCCAAACCATTAGAATTTCAAATAAATCAAAACTAAAATCCATTTGACATAAAGTTCTTTTTTTTTTTTTTTTTTTTTTCAAAAAGTCATATGTAAAAACAGATTATCCAAACACATACCTCTCTTGTTGCCTAAAATACAAGAGCCAAATCTAATTCAAACCTACATGGTTCTTCCAACCTGCAATGTGTAGTAACATAGAATAAATGCATTTTAACTTTCATGTAACTAATGCAGAAACCCAAAAAAATAAAACGTAAAAAAGTATATATTGAACACATCATACCATCCATCTGTGATGAGATTCATACTTTCTGTTGAACCTAAAATCAATCGAAAAGGAAAATACTATCTAGTTTTAAACATAAGCATCCATCTTCTTGCTCTGATGCACATACAACGCTTAGAATTTCATAAATAAGATTTATGTCAATAAATTTGAAATTAATGATAAAGCATTTATTATTGGGTAACTGAAATGATGATGAAATAAAGGATATACAGAACTGGATCTCAAGCTTGGTGTCGTTATACCTTCACCTAATACCTCTTTATGGGTAAGAGAAAGGAATCTAATTTTGTCCAGAGCCTAAAGAAAGAGAAAAGAAGAATGTGAAACTGTACTTATATTTGTTGCATCAAAATTAGGTTCCGAAAAATAGAAAAATGAAGATAGAAACTCACATCAGAAGCATTGGAGATTATTTCCCTCAAGAAAATGTATTTGTTGTTGTAAAGAGAGTTGATAATGATGTCCATAAGCCGATATACTTCAGCTTGAAACTCAAACTTCTCAGCATTGTTGCGGAGGTTTTTCCTGGACATTGACTCACCTTCCCTGAACATGATTAATAGTAAGGCTGTTAGACGTATATATGTATTATATTTAGCTTGTATTCTCTTTTGGTATTTAGTTAGGCAGCCCAATATTGTATGTAGCCCATTTGTATTATTTGTAGTATTTATTAATCCTGAGAGGCACAATGCTTTTGCATGGGAAATTATTTGCATTAACATGGTATCAGGCCTTATTCTCTCTGATGGAACTTTCTCTACACAAGATCAAACATGCACTAATACTCACAGTAAAAG